ATCTATCTATCTATCTATCTATCTATCTATCTATCTATCTATCTATCATCTATTTATCTTCATATAATAGCACTTAATAGGCATTAGCCTACACAGTGGACAATGCTCTGTCTTGAAACATTAGACTGTCAAATAAAGCCCTGTGCCAGATGTGGGATGACACCCCTCAAATTGTTGCTTAGCTTCCTCAAGTAATATAAGATATTGAGTTTACTCTTAGTTGCCAACCAGAACATGATAGGAAGACCCTATTGCTAAAGACAGAGTATACTTAAGTCATATGACATGGAGAAATCAACTTGGAACTGACCAGGAAGTTTTCTCCCTTCTGGCTAGCTTTCATAGGATTGGAGGGGTCTTTGTAAACTGTTGGGGAGAAAAGTCATCAGCAGTCTTACCCAGCTGTGAGCCCTATGAAGAACGATGAACATAGCCTGGGTATAATGGTGGAACGAATGTTGTGTGTGCAACAAACCATTTTTTGATTGTATTTAAGGCCTGCTCTATGGGAGAAAAACCATGGTTGAACCTGCTACTATTACTCTGCCAGGTGAAGATAGTATTAAACTGCCTCTATGTTTTTATTTTCATACCCTAAAATTAGGTGCGGCTCTCAAATCCTATCATAATGATGTGCAGTGAACATTCTAAAAGCTCACCCTTGGTCAAAGTGCAAAGAATACATATATGTGGAGTGCTTATTTACAAGTGGGACATCAATATTAACAATGCACCCAGAGCCTTAATGACCATCACAGAAGTAGGGGCTGAAGCAGTCTAAGAACTTGTGAGGGTTTAAAGAGTGCTTAATACAGAATATTTATTGAATACTCTGTACTCTTTCCCATACATACCCAGCAAAGAGGAGATCCATTTTATTCTGTTCATAGTTTTGAAGAAAATGTTTTTCTGTGTGTACCCCCATATAGACTGAAATTCTTATCATTCTTTGTCTTATTTAGCACTCATAATGATTTGGAGTCTGCATATCATGTTCAGAGGCAGCCTGACTGGGCAAGAGGGGGCTGCTGAGGCTGAAAATGATACGCGTGCCCTTTAGCTTGTTCTAGCATAAAGTAATCAAGGGCACAGGAAGATGGTCCTCTTGGTAAAGTGCTTGCTGTGTGAGCATGGGCACCTGGGTTTAGATCCTCAGCATCCATGTAAAGCTATGGACAGTTTCAAGTATCTGTAACCCTTGCACTGTTAAGGGTGGTTGAGCAGACAAGTGGATCATTGGAGCTCACTGGCCAGATTTGGTATAGGCCAAATGATGAGGTCCAGGCTCAGTTGCAGACCTTGGCACAGGAATTAAGGTGCTAAGAGGGACACCAGCCATTTTACTTGGCCTGCATGAGTAAGCACTAATGTGGACCCGCACATGAGCTTACGCCCAGACATACACCGTACCACATTCACACACAAATCTTAAATTTTCTGCATCTGACATCATTAAAATATTTTAAATCTTCTGTTTCTATTAAGATTTACCAATACATTCACTTGAGTACATATCACACTTATCTGTCCTTGAAGAATTTAACAGAAAATTGTGGCCTCATGTAGATGTCCACAAACAGGAGGTGACCTTACAAGTACAGGTGATGGTTCTGACTCCAGTGTCACTTCCTAGTTATGGTGTTCAGCGAGTTACTTCTGCTTGTTAGCTCTCATGTTAATACCATCTGAATTGCTTTATCTCTTAGGGTTTCTGTGAGGATTAAATGCATTAATCTGAGTAAAAACACTTGAAAAAATCTTAACATATAATGCATAATTTTATTATCATTCTTGATGAGCTCACTTGTCCATGGAAAAGAGAAATATCCAATGACTTGGGAATAAATAACACCCATTATGGCTGATATCAGTGAACGTTTCTTATACACATAGGACCGCTTAAGGAAATTAAGCAGTGTAGCAAAATGCTCATATTACTAGCTCCAATAGCGAGTCAATGAACACTGTGGGGGTCATGTTACTTAATATTCACAATAGTTCAGCAAGGTACATTTTCTTAATTTTTATAGATAAGGAAAATAGTGCAAAGATGTTAAAAAACTTTTGTCAAGCCATTTAATTGTAAGTGGTACATCCAAGAAAATGTGTAATATTGAGAACTCAGTCTTGTTATCTTCACAGCAGGCATGAGGATGAAGAAGTGAGGAAAGGGTTCTGAAGAATTCCGGAGCTTCTGGCTGAGCATAATTTGCCAGTAGGATTTTTCACTTAGAATTTGAAATTTGCCTGCTTCTGTCTATGCCTAGATCAACATTAGTTTTGATCAATCAGGAAAATCACACTATTACATCTTCAAAAACATACGCTATATCACAATTGTAATTATTAGACTGTTCATCAGTGTCTAAAATAGTATTTTTCCTAGGCAAGTAAAGACTTATATGGTTGGGGGTCATTGACCACTAACTCTGTATGAGATTTAGAGGAAAATGAACTCTAAGCTAGTATTGCTTTTTGTCAGTTCTCATTGTCCCTTTCACTCACGAAGACAGTGTTCTGGGTTGCAGATAGGACCAGGAAGAACAAAATCCTGAAACAGCAGAAGTCTAAGGAACTCAATTTGTGGAATTCTTTCTAGAGGCCTTCTATCTTGAAATTTGTCTGACTCTAAGTTTTTTTTTTTTAATTATTCCAATATGGTTAAACATTAAACACAAGTAGATGCCAGCTGGCATATTGAAATCATTGCTATTTCATTTTTTTTTGGAATGGCCAGCCAAAAATTCACTCTTGTGTACAGTCTTAGCCCACTTCTTCATTTCCTCTCTCTGCTCCTGGGCCAGCCAATATGGTGCATATTCAGCATTCTAAATGCAATGAAATGGCATCAATACTTGAACACATAAACATAATTATGTCTTTGAATTGTTTTCAGGGTGAGATTCTTATTGAAAGAGCTGGCTTCTGTTTGCTGTTCTACTTGTGTTTATTCTGCCAAGTTCTATACCTGAAATTAAAGAGACTAAGCACATGCCTACATTCCTGCTGTTTTTTTCTTATTTGAGCACAAGACAGAGAACGTTTTAATATCTGAAGAGACGGCAAGTTTTAAACCAATTTTGAGCCAATTGTTGTTGTCAGACAGCATTCCTAATTTTGCCAACAGTTAGAATATAGCAACCATACTATCTAGAGGGCCATCCCACAAACAAAACAATAATGACAGAGAAATAGCAGACAGCAATATATCACATGCTTTTGTGTTGGTATAAACAATATGATGTAGGGTAAGCCATCATCCTAAATCTGTACAACTGAATGTCATTACTGAATTCATAACTCTGTAATGACTTTAGTATTTTGTTTGCTGAATGTCACCTAAGGAAATTTTTTTCACATGGCATTAGACAAGATGAAGACACTTTCATTTATTGCCAGGAAAAAACATTTGACCACCCTCAACAGGAACAAAGCTTACAGGTGCAGGAACTGTTAAGCCTCTTGTATTTAAACTCCATTTTCCTTTTTGATTAGTGTGGTCTCCAGAGACTTTTCTGAGCAATGAAGAGTAGTTTCGTTCAGAATACACTCATATTTTTACTTGCAAGTATTTGTATCTTTATTTCTGTGTCATTAGAAGAAATCCACTGCTTATACTTTGCAGAACTTTTGGAACACCTTTGAATTCTTTTTTCCCCTGTGATTCTGTTTTTATTATTTTTAAATGCATTGCTGTTTTGTATGCATGTATGTCTGTATGAGGGTGTCAGATCCACTGGAACTGGAGTTACAGACAGTTCTGAGTTACCATATGGGTACTGGAAATTGAAATCAAGTCCTCCTCCGGAGAAGCCAGTGCTATTACCTGCTTAGCCATCTTTCCAACCCCTACTTTTGAAAACTCAATAGTCCATTACAAATAAATTGTTATGAACAAGAGGAAGTATAATTTATCTTTAAATTTTGTAGCTAAAGTTTCATTTACTTTAGTGTTATTCATTTATTTCACAGACTTCTAGAGAATTGTACTGTCTCTATGACATTTCAAATGAAGGTCTACATTATTGAAGGTCTCTTTCTGGGAAAACCCCAACAAATTTGCTATGAGCCCATGTGCCATTACAATAGATATGTGGTTAATCTACCTGTTTCATGGAATAAAGTTTTAAAAAATCGACTTCGGGGGCTGATGAGGAGGCTTAGAGTTAAGAGTATTTTCTGCTGTGATATAGGAGACCCATATGGTTTCCAGCATCCACACAGAGAGGTTTACAGTGGCTTGTCACTCCAGCTCCTGGAGATCCAGTGAGCTCTTCTGGCCTTTGGCCACCTGCACACATGGGTGACATGTCTTATATACATATTCATATACATATGCATACACATGCATATGTATAACCACAACCATAAACATATACATGTATCATAAAAAATCTCAAAAATGTACTTTAGGTTAAGAAAATCTTAAAATAACCAAACAACTTATGCAATACACATTTATGTATAGTTTTAGAATGTTCTTTGAAACTTAGCTCATGTGATACACAGATGCTCCACATTTCTATCTTCTAAGAACCAATTGCTTAGGGAAGGACTGGAATTCATGGGAGGGGGGAATACTGGACGGAAACCAAACAATGAGTTTTGCGTATTGTGCGTTTGTGATGCCTCTGGCATTTCATACATGGTGATTCCTGAAGCAATATTCATAATGGTGTCTCTGAAGTGTGCTCTACTCAATCAAAATGGAAGCAGGGAGTGCTGATTTTTTTTTCCAGAGGCCTTCTGTCTTAAAATTTGTCTAAGTTTGCTAATTATTCCAACATGGCTAAACCATCAACCTGTATAGATCTCAGCTGGCATATTGAAATCATTGCTTTCATATTTAGGAATGATCTTGGGCTACTTTTGCATTCATCTCTAAACTCACATATGCAGAACAGGAATAAAAGATAGTACAAGGTAGACTATAATCAGAGTCTAAGTTGAAAACACATTATTGATTATTCAATAATTATTAATAATATGATTAATCCTTTACTGTTGGAAAATTTCCTATATTTTCAGTTAAAAATGGACTGTCTTTCAGCTGGGCATTGGCATACACAGTTAAGATGATTGCATCACTGTCATAATCTTTATCATTAATTCCACCACCATCATCATCTACAGATACCTGGGTATATCAGCTTTCAGAGCTATTCTAGGAGTTATGTAGAATGAGTACAAATGGATATAACAAGTAACTCGGGAATTGCCAGGATAGCCTAGATAATATTGATTAAATAAGTGTGCATAGATGGAATTAGGGAATCTATGTGTATATTAGCATCCATAAAGAATGCATTCTTCTGTAGTTCTGGTGACAAGCAGCATTTTTCTACTAAGAATGGAAACCAACCTTTCCCCTAGTTTAAGAAGGTATTTTCCCTGGAAGTATTACTTCAAAACAACCGAGATATGAAGAACACTATTTTTGTTGCAAGTATTCTTCTTCAAGGTTTACACTGATGTGTGGAAAACACATACACTTTAAAAGCCAATTTTTTCTATAAGTACATTTAGCCAGAACATATTCATAGTTTTAATAATTTAGGATCTGGAATGCTCAATGAATGCATTAATTTTATTTGATGAATTATAGTCATTTAATGATAAGAATTTATATATGACTTGTGATTTTGCTGGCACTAGTTTTTAGTGGTAAAATAGGCCTTGCTTGCCTAGCATATTTTCATGCTCACATTTAGAAGGCAAATGTGCCCATTTTCCATTCCTATCTGAGACTCAATGTTTAAATTAATCATTCTTCTTAGGAGGTGTTATGTATCAATTCTTTGGCTATTTCAGATTCCAATATAGAATCACGTTATCCTCTATTATTTGCATATGTTTAATTCTATAGCACACTCAGAATGTACAAAGGAGCCCAGATGAATTTCGCAATCTTGAACAAATTCACACTGAGCTGATGATCACAAGATCCAGTAATTAAATGTATTCTCTTATTCCAAGTCCTGAGCTGATTTCATTGAAACAGAAGGATTCAAATCCTATTTCACAGGTGGTAGATTTCAGTTAGCAAGCTTGTCGCCTCATGCCCCCTTCTTCTTTCTGGTTTATCTTGTTTTTCCTAGAAATAGCAGTAAAATGGTTTGTCTCTTTGCTTTTTTCCCACTAAAGGAATAACCACAGTCCTCACCATGACGACCCTAAGCATCAGTGCTCGGCATTCCTTGCCCAAAGTGTCCTATGCCACTGCCATGGATTGGTTCATAGCTGTCTGCTTTGCTTTTGTATTTTCTGCTCTTATTGAGTTTGCTGCTGTCAACTATTTCACCAACATCCAAATGCAAAAAGCCAAGAAGAAGACTTCAAAGCCTCCTCCAGACATCCCGGCTGCTCCTGTGCAGAGAGAGAAACATGCTGAAGCATCTGTCCAGGTATTTAGATTTATCTACATTCTTCTAAGGTTTTAGCTACAAATTTTTGTCATAGGTAGAAAACAGAGGCCATGAGTGTATCCATGGCAATTTCTAAGAACGGTGCAAGTTTAGGGAAATATATGGTGATAACATGTACACTGATGTTTTATTTTAGCAATATTATTAGTTATTTGAGGATATCACGAATCTATTTTGATAATATTTACCCCCCCCGCATTCTAATGCATTCCAGGTCCAACTCTCTTTCCTCACCTGCCCAAATTTGTGTCTTCCTCTTCCTCTCCTTTCTCCTCCTCCTCCCTTTCCTTCTCTTCTTCCTCCTCCTCTTTCTTTTTAAAAATAATCAAGTACAATTTGCTGCTTATGTATTCTTCTTAAAATTTCTTTATTTTTATTAATTACAGTCTATTCACTTTGTATCCCAGCTGTAGCCCCCTCCCTAGTCCTGTCCCAATTCCACTCTCTCTTCTTTATCTTCTCCCATGCCCCGCCCCAAGTCCACTGATAGGGGAGGTTCTCCTCCCCTTCCCTCTGAACCTAGCCTATTACATCTCACCAGGAGTGGCTGCATTGTATTTCTCTGTGGCCTGGTAAGGTTGCTCCCCCCTTAGGGGGAGGTGATCAAAGAGCCAGCCACTGAGTTCATGTCAGAGACAGTCCCTGTTTTCATTACTAGGGAACCCACTTGGATTCTGAGCTGCCATGGGCTACATCTGTGTAGGGGTTCCAGGCCATCTCCATGAGTGGTTCTTGGTTGGACTATTAGTCTCAGAAAAGATGCCTGTGCCCAGAATGTTTGCTTTTGTTGTTCTCCTTGTGGAGCTCCTGTCTCTTCCAGGTCTTTCTATCTCCCCCTTCTTTCATAAGATTCCCTGTACTCTGCCCAGAGTTTGGTTATGAGTCTCAGCATTTGCTTTGATACCTTGTTGGGTAGAGTCTTTCAGAGGCCCTCCGTTGTAGGCTCTTGTCTTGTTCCCTGTTTTCTCCCTCTTCCAATGTCTGTCCAATTTGCCTTTCTGAGTAAGGATTGATCATCTTACCCAGGTACCCTCCTCCATTGCTGGTGGGAATGTAAACTTATGTAACAACTATGGAAATCAATCTGGTGCTTTCTCAGACAATTAGAAATAGTGCTACCTAAAGATCCAGCTATACCACTTCTAGGTATATATCAAAAATATGTTCAATATACAAGGACATTTGCTCATCCATATTTGTAGCAGCTTTATTCATAAGAGCCAGAATCTGGAAACAACCCAGATGTCCCTCAACTGAGGAATGGATACAGAAATTGTGGTATATTTACACAATGGAATACTACTCAGCAATTAAAAACAAGGAAATCATGAAATTTGCAGGCAAATGGTGGGAACTAGAAAAGATCATCCTGAGTGAGGTATCCCAGAGGCAGAAAGACACACATGGTATGTACTCACTTATAAGTGGATATTAGAATATAATATAGGATAAACATACTAAAATCTGTACACCTAAGGAAACTAAGCAAGAAGGAGGACCCTGGGTAAGAATCTTATGTATTCTTTAATGTATGGCTTTCATGGACATTTAGTCTACTAATCAGTCCATATATTTTGAAAAGAAAACTAACTTTCCATTTACCAGAAACTATCATTTGCAAATCTGCTTTCCACAGTGGATTTTGTCTAACTTGAGCTTGTGTGGGTCTTGTGTGTGTTGCCATAACCACTGTGTGTTCATCTGTGTAGTCTGTTCTTCTGCATTTAGAACCCAGTGTTTCCTGGTAGTCCATTACCTCGAGCTCTTATACTCTTTAAATCCCCTCAGCCAGAATGATTATTCGGTCTTAAGAACAAGGGGTGTTTGTTGATACAGATGTTCCGTTTAAGGCCCAGCCTTTCACAGTCTCATATTCTTTCCACTTTGGCTAGTTATGTGTCTTATTGTTAATCACCATTTACTGGAAAATCAAAGTCTGTCTGATAAAGGTTCAGAGATGCACTGTGACTTTAAGAAGTCATAAAAAGCTAGTTTAACATTGTGGCCATTTAGCAGAATAAAGGGATTATAACCTAGCTAGTCCAGGTTCTTGGCTTCAACACTGGTTCCAGATATGGAATTTGTCTTGTGGAATAGACCTTAAATCTAATCAGTCACTGGTTGGTTATTCCCATGATATTAATGCTACTCTTGATAGAATGAGCATATTTTGCTATGCCAAATAGTAAAGTCCATATCTGGGAAATCTGATGAGTGGTTTTCTTCTTAGCTACCATTAATAACAGCTTCCAGAACAATGAATTCTAACTGAAAGGGATGAAGCTTTCAATTAGTACAAGTTTGATTTCTTTATGTCCTATGACTTAAGTATGTGTTATTCCTAGCAATAGGGCCTTACTGTCAAGTTATGAAGGGTAAACAAAAATGATACCAGCACCCTGTAATGTTTGGCCGTTTGTAGGACCTAAGTGGCCAGGAAACCTGGAAAAGATAACCTATTCCTGAGAATAGATTTTCAAAATTTATTAAGCAGTGGTGTTTTGTAGAGGCTTTGTCAACCCACTATAAAGTAACTCTTTAAATTATTCTTTTCTTGCGTAAAAAAAATAGCTTTATTTTATTTTTTATTTATTGTAATTTATTCACTTTGTATCCCAGCTGTAGCCCCTTCCCTCATCCCCTTCTGTTCCCATGACCCAGCCCCCTGATAGGGGAGGTCCTCCTTCCCTTCCATCTGACCCTAGTCTATCAGGTCTCATCAATACTGGCTGCATTGTATTCTTCTGTGGCCTGGTATGGTAAGGCTGCTTTCCCGTCAAGGGGAGGGGAAACTCAGCTAGCCATTGAGTTGATGTCAGAGACAGTCCCTGTTCACATTACTGGGGAGCCCACTTGGAGACTGAGCTGCCACGGGCTACATCTGTGCAGAGGGTGTAGGTTATGTCCATGCATGAGTATCAGTCTCAGAAAAGACCCTTGTGCTCAGTTTTTTGTTTTTGTTTTTTTGTTTGTTTTTTTTTTTTTTTTTTTTTTTTTTGGTTCTGTTGCTCTCCTTGTGGAGCTTTAGACCCTTCCAGGTCTTTCTATCTTCCCCTTCTTTCATAAGATTCCCTGCTCTTTGCCCAAAGTTTGGCTCTGAGTTTCAGCGTCCACTTTAATACTTTGCTCGGTAGAGTCTTTCAGAAGCCCTCTGTCTTGTTCCTTATTTTCACCTTCTTCTGATGGCTATTAATTCAGCATTTTTTCACATGTATTATTATTGTATAGAAGCTGCAAAATGTTCAAAAATATGGATAATCAAGAATGCAGAATTGTCCCCTTTTTTTTTCTTCTTGGTCTTCCACTATTCTGCTATGTCCCTTTGACTCTTTCATTTCATTTTCTTATGTTTTTGTTTGTTTGTTTTATAAATAGACAGATCCCTCATGGTTACTTCCCCTTAGACAACTACAATTTTCATGAATAGCACTTTAAAGATGCCTGGTCTGCACCTATCTAAACCAAAATGTAATCAAAATCAACTGTTTTTCTCTTGATTTATCGACTTATTCATTCAACAAATACATATTTAAGGCCAACTATGGGCCAGACTTTGCACACAGACTAAGAATCAATAATGTATATTTTAAAAGCCAGCAAATACCCTACACTATGGAAGTTCCATTTATTACCATGTGGTTAGAAAGTAGAGGCAGACAGTTTCTTTAAATATAAGTAAGGAAACACTTGAGTATTAAATGGGTACTATGTGAAGGGTCAGCAAGTGGTTAGAGATTAGGAATCTACTTTTACAGAATTGACCCATGCCTTCTTTCAGTTTGTACTTCTTTTCCTAATGTCTTCAGATGGTGCTCTCTATGTATGTCACAAGAGTAGCTAAGGAAATGAATGCTTTACATTAAGAAGTTTTAATCCCTTAAATTTTCTGCTAAATGAATTCATCATGATTTTCAAAATGGTTAGAATGCATTTTGCACACTGTTTTAAGAAATAATGTGAATACTCTACCAAACTGTTCTTCTGTAAATCTGGCAACCATAAGATAAATGAAAAATATCCTAAAGAGTCCCAGGACATATGATGTAAAGTTTATGGACATGGATAAAAGAAATAGTGTTCAGAGCTGTACCCCTTTCCCCACTTCCCATAGCTATACTTGCAGCTTCCGTCTTTTGTTGTTGTTTAATTATGTTTTGCTTCATCATATTGAAACTATATAATGCATTTCTTGCTTTTTATAAGTCACCCAATTTTGTATTTAGTTTACTGTTTGTTTGTTTGTTTTTTTTCTTTACCTTTTTTTTTTCTCTCTTTTTGATATTTCAAGACAGGATTTCTCTGTGTAATCCTGGCTGTCCTGGAACTTGTTCTGTAGACCAGGCTGGCCTTGAACTCAGAGGTCCACCTGCCTCTGTTAGCTCAGTGCTGGAATTAAAAAGCGTGTGCCACCATTGTCCAGAACACTCTTTATTATTTTTCTCATGATTGATTCAAGAGTTAATGTAGTTATGTTTTTCTGCAGGTTAAATTTGTTATTTTCATGATATTTGAGTATACATCATATTAGTTTATTTTCATGCTATTTTATTTACAAATAAAATTTAAAAAATTATTAATTATTCATTACAATTTATTCACTTTGTATCCCAGTTGTGGCCCCCCTTCCTTATCTCCTCCCAATCCCGCCCTCTCTCCCCCTTCTCCACGCATGCCCCTCTCCCAGTCCACTGATAGGGGAGGTCCTTGTCCCATTCCGTCTGATCCTAGCCTATCTGGTCTCATCAGGACTGGCTGCATCATCTTTCTCTGTGGCCTGGCAAGGCTGTACCTCCCTCAGAGGGAGGTGATCAGAGAGCCTGTCACTGAGTTCATGTCAGAGACAGTCCCTCCTCCCCTTACTAGGGAACCCACTTGCAGACTGAGGCTATGGGCTACATCTGAGCTGAGGTTTTATGTCTTCTCCATGCATGGTCCTTGGTTAGGGTATCAGTCTCTGCAGGGCTTCCAGGGCTCAGGTT